CAGCAACAGCTATTGGCTTAAATGAGATAAAGAATTACAGACTTTTCTCGTCTCAGGATAAGATATCAAATGTGGGGAAATTAACTATGTGAATTACAGTTGTGATCAACTGTCATTAATTCATGTTCGTTTTACTATGCATACTGAAATTCAGTATTGAAATTATTAATGCATGTTTATTTTCTTTGTTAATCTGCAATATGCACCCTTTTATTTTGCAAAACAATTTTTTCTCCAGAGAAGCACACCTTCAGAATCCTGTTTATTAAGTCTCCCAAACGAAGTTTGGGAAGACTTATTTGTTTTTTTTCAGTTCTTATTATTATTATTATTATTATTCTTCTTCCTCTTCCACCACTTTTAAATTTGAACTTGTCCGCACCCGTTCTCCAAAACCGCTTGTCAGATTAACTTAGGGTTTCACAATATGTTAGACTAACATGTCTAGTGGTGCAATCAGGGTTTTGTTTGTGCAATGGGGTTTATAAAGGGGTACTTTGAGGGGCAAAAAGAAAGGAGGGTTTTACTATAGAACCCTATGGGATTTTATTTTTTAAAATTTTCAAATGATTATACATTGAAAACCGTTTACAAGTGATAGACACAATCTTTTTAATTGAAAATGTTCTAAATGATGAAGCACATGAAATGAAATATAGGGTTAGTCCCCAGGGGTCACCCCCACCCCCTGCCATTTAAGAAAGTTCTAATATCTTGTAAGTGGTCAAGATCCCCACCCCTAAACCATATATATTCTGGTTTGTCATGCTAAGATGGTTTGAATGATATACAGGGTTAGTCCCCAGAGGTCATCCCGACCCCCTGCCATTTGAGAAAGGTCTAATATCTTGTAAATGGTTGAGATCCCCACCCCTAAACCATATATATTCTTGTTTGTCATGATAAAGCACATCCAATGAAATACAGGGTTAGTCCCCAGGGGTCACCCCCACCCCTGCCATTGAAGAAAGTTCTAATATCTTGTAAGTGGTCAAGATCCCCACCCCTAAACCATATATATTCTGGTTTGACATGCGAAGATGGTTTGAATGATATACAGGGTTAGTCCCCAGGGGTCATCCCGACCCCCTGCCATTTGAGAAAGTTTTAATATCTTGTAAATGGTCGAGATCCCCACCCCTATACCATATATATTCCTGTTCGTCATGTCTCAAACAGTTGAATGACGTATAGGGTCAGTCCCCCAGGGGTTCCCCCACCCCCAATTACTAGTATCTTGTAAATGGTCGAGATCCCCACCCCTAAACCATATATATTCCTGTTCGTCATGTCTCGAACATTTGAATGACGTATAGGGTCAGTCCCCAGGGGTTCCCCCACCCCTAATGTTCTAGTATCTTGTAAATGGTTGAGATCCCCACCCCTAAACCATATATATTCTGGTTTGTCATGCCAAGATGATTTGAATGATATAAAGGGTTAGTCCCCAGGCATCATTAATGCATATAGCTTTACTGGACCAAACCCATTTTCACTGGACTTTGCCCAATGTCAGGGGACCCTGGGAATTACGAATTATGGGAGCTTCGTTTGGGAGACTTCATAACAGCATCCTGTTACAATCATTTCTTGTTTGTAAATGTTTTCAACAAGTAAAATGAACAAATATTTTAATAGAATGGGTGTATAAACGCACACTATTAAAGTAAATCCAATTTATATCAATATCTAGAATACCACATTTCTAATACTAAATCAACAACAGATGCACACATATTACCTTAAATTATAATAGTGCGAAGCAGTCCTCAGATTTTTAGAAAGCTGAAACTTGGTTATTGTTTTAATCAGGAAGATATATTTTGACAGGACGTGACACTACCTAGCCCATTTTATCATCATTTCATGGTTAATAAATCAAAACAGAACCGGACATATGTTAAACACTTACTTACTATTATCTTAATAATTTCTGATAATATCAATAAAATGTCATTCAGCTTAAGTAATTTTAAAAAAGGGACAACATCAAAAATTCAATGTAGGATAAAAAACTTTATTCATATAGTTTTCACTGAGACCCCCAGCCCCAAAAAAAAAATAAATTAAAAAAATACCCTTTTAACTTATTTTGGGGAAAATTTATTGACCATTATGGGCATATGCTATCAGAGCTTCATCTTGGACAAGTTCTATAATGGTGGACAATCAAAAGAGTTCATAAAATGCCCCTTGGAAATATAAAATAAGTGCAACACGGGGGACATTGGAACTCTGTTTGTTTGTTAACATTAGTGCATTAAAAAAAAATTAATGTTATCACCTTATTAAATTGAAACTCTTGTTTACTTAATTCATAAAGTCTGTTGTAATAAATTATATGGATATTTTCAGCAATACTGCCAAATTAGATATACAAAAATTCACTGGCAGTACCAATTTCACAAAGCTAAGAACATGCAAAAAAACATACATAACATAAAATTGATCATGATTATTGTACATTATGTTATCTGTAATTATAGATTTTTAAAGATGACAAGAAGAAAAAATTGGAGGGCAGCAGAGGCTAAACGTAGTGTGAAAAACCCAAAGAAACAGAGACTGACGAACTTGACTGGGGATACTGGCCCCTTAAACAGTACAAAATTTGACCTTGACATGGGTGATACTGACAACAACAGTAACTCAAATAACTTGGGGGATACTGACCTCCACTCAAATATAAACAACAGTAACTCAAATAACTTGGGGGATACTGACCTCCACTCAAATATAAACAACAGTAACTCAAATAATATGGGGGATACTGACCTCCACTCAAATATAAACAACAGTAACTCAAATAACTTAGGGGATGCTGACCTCCACTCGAATGCAAACAACAGTAACTTGAAACAACTTGAAATATCTGAATTGAATAAACTTGAATTATCTGAACTGAATAAACTTGAAATATCTGAATTGAATAAACTTGAATTATCTGAACTGAAACAACTTGAAATATCTGAATTGAATAAACTTGAACTATCTGAATTGAATCAAAACAGTTACAATAACTGTACAAAAGAGACTTGTCATATACAAACAGATATTCTGTCAAATGAATCAAACAAAAGAAATGCAAAAAAAGATTCTCATAGTAATATCCAAACTGATCTGTTGCAAAACCAAAATAAACAATCTAAAAATAATTCAGAACAAGAGGTATCAAAAAATTTCAATTCTTTTAATGCACACTTTCTTAAATTTGGAACTTTTGACCAGTATTCAACAAAATATGTTGATCAAAGCAGGGGCAACCAATGTACTTGTAATTGCTTAGTTTTCTTAGCACTTTCTACTTTAAATTTTGATTCAAACACACTGAACCTGGATTACATTTTAAATAAAGGAGATGAAATTTACAAGAATCATGTTCAAGAATTAACAACACAGGGATTATTTAAAAATATGCTTTTAAATTTTGATGAAATTCCTGTTAAGATAGAAATTCCTGAAGGGATTTTTACAATTAACAAACAAAATGTTCTGTTTGGTATAGCTTTACAGTACCAAGAGTTGACTGGATATCTCACATTACAAGAAGCAATCCAAAATTGTACAAAGCAGTCAAACAAATTTCTTATTATGATTGGAGCCATCTGTTCGGCAGTTTATTATCATAATCAAATATACTACTTTTTTGACACTCATTCTCATTCAGAATGTACACTGAATAACCCATTAGATTCCTCCGGCAAAAGGTATCTTGATTGGATTTGCTGACTTACATGAACTCATCAGTTACTTGTATGCTTTTTACACAAGTTTACAAATTGATTTAGACTCTCAATATGAAATTTTACCTGTATGTATCAGTAGTAAATATACAGAGAAAGATCTGACTAAGCAGATCAAGAATTATTTTGATGATCAGAAACTAAGGAACACAAAACAAAAAAAAGTTTCTTACCAGTATATGAAATCTTGTGGCAAGGAACATTCTGTTAGCAATGAAAAAGATGATCAAGCAGTTCTGTCAAAGAGTCAAGTTTTTACTAAGGTACCCAAATTTGTATATATGAAAAACTACATGCAAAATAGAAGAAAAAATAAAATATTAAAGGAAAAAGAATAAAATACGAAAAGATATTCAAGAAAACATAAAAATTATAGACAGACTGAAGCAGAAAAAAAGAAGTCTCAGAGAGATAATTCTGATATAAGACAGATAGAGAGACAAAGAGAACTTGCATCTAAAAGAGAGGCTACAAAAAATGAAGATTTCAAAAAAAGAGAACTTGCTGCTATTAGGGAAGTTAGAAAGGATAAATATTATAAAAAGTCTGAAGCAGAAAGTAAGAAGTCTAAAAGAGATAATTTTGATATAAGACAGATGGAAAGACGAAGAGAACTTGCTTCTAAGAGAGAGGCTAGAAAGAATGAAGTTTTTAAAAAAAGAGAACTTGCTGCTAAAAGAGAGGCTAGAAAGAATGAAGATTTCAATAAAAGAGAACTTGCTACTAAAAGAGAAGCTAGAAAGAATGATATTTTCAAAAGAAATGAAACAGAAAAGAAAAAAATAGCCAGACAAGATGAAGAGTACAGGCAACATGAGTCCAAACAAGACTTCCACAGAAAACAAGAATATAGGTCAAATCCAGAAAATTTAGAAAATGAGAGTTTTAGACGGAAAAACCAAGATATTGACAGATGTTATGACAAGTCAGTCAAAAGTACTAAAAGAAAAAACATTGATTTCACAGATCATGAAAAAGACCTAAAAAAGAAAAGAATTCAAGGTATAACCCTTGATGCCTGCATAAGAAATTTTAAAACAAAAATTAATGAAGGTCCTACATATATGTACTTCGTGTCATCAAACTTGGTTCTGTGACTCTGTAGTTAATGCTAAAACTATTAAAATGAATACTCCTGCTAACATGTCTCATTGTTTTACCAATTTCAAATCTGTAGAACAGATAGAATGGATATGCCACACTTGTCTCAATGCAGTTAAAAAACAAAACATTCCTCGATTTTCAATAGCCAATAAAATGGGATTTCCTCAAAGACCAAAAGAATTAAGTTTGTATCCTTTAGAAAAGAGGCTGTTGTCATTGAGAATTCCTTTTATGCAAATAAGGCAGTTGCCTAGAGGTGGACAGTTATCAGTTAAAGGCAATGTTGTAAATGTGCCTGTTGAAGTTCAACCTACAATAAATTCACTTCCACACACATTAGAGAAATCGGGTACAATATCAGTTAAATTAAAGAAGAAACTAGTTTACAAAAAGTGTGATTTTAGTGAAAATGTCAGACCATTTGCTGTCATTTGTGCATTACATTATTTAATGAGAACAAGTGACTTGTACAAGTCTTCTAGAATAGAAATAAATGAGGATTGGATTACAGAAATCGCAAAAACAAATGAAGAAGAAACACAAAATGAAAAAAATTGTACAGATCAAGAGGATAACCAAGATGAAAATGATTCAGACGATGAATCTGATCATTTCAGTGAAGTAGATGAAAATGAAACACATGTTGGAAATACAGATACACTGTTAGATTACATTCCAGACGACAATCCACCATGTGATATAAGTTTAACTTTTGCTCCTGGTGAAGGCCAACGACCAATTAGCCTCTATAGTGATCCTGATGCAGAGTACTTATCTTTTCCAACTATATTTTGTGGTCAAAGGAGGCCAGATAACAAAGAGAGGTCTGTTTCTGTTCACTATACTGATATTGTCAAATGGGAACTAAGGTCCATGGATAGGAGAGTAGCACAGTCTGTACCAAACATATTTTTCAAGTTAAAGAAAATTCAGTTAAAAAACATAAGTGATAAGGTCAATCTTGCTCTGAGAAGGTGTCAATCAGAAGGAAAAAATGGACAGCAAAGATGTACTGAATCCTAACACTGTAAATGATCTTGTAAGATTGGATGAAGGTTATTATATCTTTAGAAGTTTAAGAAACTCTCCAGTATACCTTGAAAAGAGGAAGAAAGATTTGTTTGCAATGATCAGACAGTTGGGTCTTCCAACTTGGTTTGGCTCTCTTTCATCTGCAGACACTAACTGGAAAGATTTATTACGAATTCTAGGCAAATTAAATGATGGCAAAGAGTAAACTGACAATGAATTGGAAGAAATGGATTGGAATCAGAAATCTAAACTTGTTCAGAAAGATCCTGTGACATGCTCTAGATATTTTGATTATCGTGTCCAACAGTTTATCAACTTGGTGTTGAAAAGTGATCATGATCCTATTGGAAAATTAACAGGTTTCTTTTATAGGGTTGAATTTCAACAGAGAGGTTCACCACATATTCATATCTTGATTTGGATTGAAAATGCACCAGTATATGAAAGCGATTCAAATGAAGATGTTGTAGCATTTATTGATAAATATGTCTCCTGTTCATTTTCAGAAAATGACACTAGTTTAGTCAATTTGCAAGTTCATAAACATTCAAAAACATGCAGAAAAAAAGGTCACCCAATTTGTCGTTTTGGTTTCCCCCTTCCACCTATGAAAGCAACAGTAATTCTAGAGCCATTGAAAGAAAATGATGACATAGAAATGTACAAGGCTATATATAAAGAAATACAAAACGAAATTAATACACTTCACAATTCTGAAGATATAGACCAGATGACATATGACATGTTTTAGATGATGTGTTACAAATGAATGATGAAAATTACATAAAGGCCATTAGAAGCAACTTGAGTGCTCCAAAAGTTTTTCTCAAACGAAAACCATCTGAAGTTCGTGTTAATGGTTACATGAAAACTGTGTTGGTAGCTTGGCAAGCAAATCATGATTTACAGTTTGTTTTAGATGCATTTGCATGTGCAGTATATATTGTTTCATACATCAGCAAGTCACAAAAAGGTATGAGTGCATTACTAGACCAAGCAGCAAAAGAAGCACGACAGTGAAATTTAGACTTGAAACATCAAGTAAGGCACATTGGGAATTACTTTTCAAATTCTGTTGAAACAGGCGCACAAGAAGCAACATACTTAACACTACAGATGCCTTTAACAAAAGCTACAAGACAAGTAGTATTCATTAACACATCTCCACGACACAAAAGAACTTTCCTCCTAAAGCAATCATCAGCCCTAGAAAAACTAGGCCCAGACTCTACTGAAATAGAATCAGACAATGATATTAAAAGATACTCGCGTAGACCAAAACAACTGGTGTCTAGCAGACTATGTATCTCAGCTTGAGTTGCAGTATCCCAAAACTTCAGAGTCCTCAGATCATGAAACAGAACAGCAGGAAAATGAATCTGAAAGTGAAAATGAAGAGGCAAATGCAGATGTTATAGAAGAAAACAATAACAAAATCGACATAACCCTGAAGAATGGTATTAGAATATACCAAAGAAAAACACCCAAGGTTATAAGATATGTTAAATACAATTACAAGACTGACTCTGAAAACTTCTACAGAGAACGTTTAATGTTATTTTATCCATGGAGAAATGAACTTTCAGATTTGCAATGTGGACATGAAACATTTTAAAAAAATGTACTTGACTGTTTCAAGACTATAAGAAAAGAAAGCTAAACAATATGAAGGAAAAGTAATAGATCTAGAGAAAGCTATAGAAGAGGCAGAAAATGAATATAATGAGAATGATCAAATAGCACCTGCCACTCAGCAAGTAGAAATGGAAGATGCTGAAATAGGCCCAACAGAATCTGAACAGTATGTTCATTTCAATCCAGATAGGCCAACAGAACATAGACTGTATGATATGTCCCATGAAGTTGGAATAGAAGCAAGAACAGTAGAATTGACAAATCATGCGAACAGAATAAGTGAGAGTGATTATTTTGCATTGATAAGATCCTTAAATAAGAAACAGTGGGAATTTTTCCAACATGTTGTCACATGGGTTAAAACAAAACATGAACCATTTTATACATTTTTGACAGGTGGAGCAGGATGTGGAAAATCTGTTGTTGTCAGAGCAATATTTCAAGCTTTACACAGACACTTATGTTCTATTGAAGGTGAGGACCCTGACGATATTAGAATTCTTCTTTGTGCTCCTACTGGAAAGGCAGCTTACAATACAAATGGTCTGACTATTCACAATGCTTTCCAGATACAACCAAATAAAGGACTTGACCAATCACTGTCATGTGATGTCCTCAATACATTCAGAACGAAATACAGAAATTTGTCTCTGATTTTGATTGATGAAATTTCAATGGTTGGTAACAAAATGTTCTCTTTGCTGGAGAGAAGGCTGAAAAAAATCAAGGGAAGCAACTGTTCATTTGGTGGCGTGAGTATCATAGCTATTGGTGATTTTTTCCAACTACAACCTGTATTTGACAGCTGGATTTTCAATGATCTTAGCAAAGGATTAACAGCATTAGCACCTAATTACTGGAAATTATTCTTTTCTTTTCATGAACTTACTGAAATAATGAGACAAAAAGATGATTTAGAATTTGCTCAATTACTAAATAGGTTGAGACAAAATCAGCTGACTGAAAATGATTTTGCAGTTTTAAGTACCAGAACTGTTTTAATCAGTGATCCAACATACAGAACTAATGCTACTCATTTGTTTGTTGAAAATGCTTTAGTGGATAATTTTAATTTGCAATACATATCTAGATTATGTTCACAGAAAGTTAAAGTTAAAGCAGTTGACACAGTTTGTGGGGATTTACCAGCCTCTGTAAAAACAAAATTACTCAGTTCTTTACCAGAAAAACAGTCTGATACAGCCAATCTTGCAAAAGAAGTAGTATTAGCAATTGGGATGAAATATGATCTTACAGCTAATATTGAAGTCACTGATGGTCTCACAAATGGTTCAACTTGTGAACTTAAATTGATTGAATGCAAAACTACATCTTTAAGACCAAGTATCATATGGGTTAAGTTTGAGGATGCCAGAATTGGTGCTAACAATAGAAGAAAATATTCACACTTGTATGGAAAAGATGTTGAAAAAACATGGACTCCAACGTTCGACATTAAAAGGTCGTTTACTTATAAATATAAGACCTTTGAAAGAATTCAGTTTCCTCTTCGTCCAGCAGCCGGAAAAACAATTCATAAATCACAAGGAGATACATTACACGAAGTTGTTGTTAGTCTGAAATCAAAACGTAAAGGAAAAATACCTCATATTCACTATGTTGCACTAAGCAGAGTTACATCTTTAACTGGATTACAGATATTGGATCTTAATCAAGAAGCAATCGCTGTAGCAGAGTGTGTTCGACAAGAATTACACAGACTAAGGACAGATGCAACTCTACAGTTGTGCTTTAAGCCATTGTATAACTTATCAAGTAACCATTTTAAAGTAGTTTTCAACAACTCAAGGTCATTGCATGCTCATTTTAATGATCTAAAATCAGACCCTAACGTCTTGGATGCTGATGTTATTGGTATTGCTGAATCAAGACTTATTTCAACAGATGAAAATGATGATTTTTATGTACCTGGTTTTGAACCACCAGTTCGCTTATACCAGAAGCAAACAAACTTTAATACAAGACCACCTCATGGATTGGTATTATATTATCGAAATGATTGTATTCTTCACAATACATTCACTTTCTCAACTCCAACATTAGAGTTTGTAATAGTAGACATAGTATCATCCAGCAAAGGTCTTTTTCAGGTTGTTTTTGTTTACAAAGCACCAAACTGCAAGTTGCAACAACTGAAAGATACTTTATCTTTACTGGATGCGGTATTCAGTACGTAGGTGAAACTGGACGATATTTATCTAAACGCACTCAAGAACATCTGTATCGTTTTAAAAGACCCAATAAATTCAAAAGTAATATTTATCAACACCTTAAGAAGCACAATCATCCTATTAAATATTTAGCAGTTCAACCTTTAGAAGTAGTAAATAAGCAGCCTGGTGAATCTCATTCAAAGTTTGTACGATCACGGAAAATAATTGAATTAAATTGGATTAAAAAATTACAGACAGTCTACCCTCTTGGTCTTAATGATAATATCATGGGAATTTGTAATATATCAAGAACCGATTCTGTTAACATTTTGGATACTAGTATAGTTTCTAAAACTGTTCGTAAAAACCGTTCTCATGGTCGTAGAAAAAAATCGCAATCAAAGAAAATTTCGGACCAATCATACCAATATTTCGGACCTAATTTCTATTTCAAAAAACAACGGCAGACATTATCTGTTAACAAAGCTCTGTTCATTACCGGTTAATAAGTTAAATAAAATTTTAGAGGATTGCAACACAATTTCATATAGCAGTCCTAAGTATGAAATCGTTCAAATTATAATGGCATATTGTTATTCTAAACTGTTTCCCAAAATTGATCGCCCTGAAGATCATAAAAAACAGTTTATTAAAATAAAGTATGTTAATAAAGGTTTTGATTTTGTAAATATTGCCGGTATTTTTAACGACCATTCTGTTAAAGAACAAATTCCGGGATATTTTGATAATACTGAGCTCCCTCTTATTTGTTATATTTACAAGAAATCTACCCGGAAATTTGTGTTTAATTATAGTCAATTGTGTAAAGATGTTAATATCAGTGAAAATACACCTACTTCATGTAATTGCAGTAATTCCGAATACATTTATGGACCCATTTCCCATGTTATAACAGGAGATCTTAACATCGTTCAAGACCGAGAGTTAAAATCATTCCTCAGTAAAGGACCTAAATATCCTCCCCCGTCAATTATTAATTGGAATGAGTGTCGTAATATCATCTACGACTCACTCCATACTTACTGTTTGAAATGGATAAAACGGGAAAAAGCTGACAAAAAATCTTTGGACTCTTTTTTTATTTCAGTAATGAACATAGTTGATATACGTATTCAACATTTTAAAGAACATTTTACTCTTAACAATAACCACAATAAACCTATTTCTCGTATCAAACATAAACTAAAAGAACTAGCCAAGGAATTTGTTTTTGTCCCGGCCGATAAAGCTGCTAATAATATTATTATTGGTTGACGTAAATTTTACATTGAGGTTCTGAAAAAAGAAATTACCAATTCACCAACATTCCAACTGACTCCATTTTCAGAAAACGACATCTGTAACAAACATAAACTTTTAGCTACCGCTTTACAAGCAGAACCAAATACAATGAAAGTCCCAACTATATATTGGCTTCCGAAGCTACACAAAACACCTTACAAATATAGATTTATTTCGTCTTCAAGCCATTGTTCCACTACTAAATTGTCTATTCTTCTTACCAGTACACTTGGTACAATCAAAAACCTGATAATAAATTGTTCAAATAAGGCCTTCGAAAATAGTGGAATTAATTACTTTTGGAGTGTCAAGAACTCGTTGGAAGTACTTGATAAATTACATGCATATATTGGTGATTTTGAATCTGTTCAAAGTTTTGATTTTTCTACCCTATATACCACATTGCATCACATTCTCATTAAGAAAAAATTCACAAACAAAAAAACTATGTCAATTGGACATACTTTGATACTATATATGCCCTTGAATTTTTACTAGATAACATTTTTGTTCGCTTTGGAGATTCCGTATATCGTCAGGTTATCGGAATTCCAATGGGGACTAACTGTGCACCACTTATTGCGGACCTTTTTTTGTATTGCTATGAGTTACAATTTATGACAAAAATCAGCAAAGACCCATCGAAACAACATCTGATACACAAATTTAATAATACTTTTAGATATTTGGATGATATTTTGGCTCTCAATAATGACGACTTCAGTATGTATACTAAAGAAATTTATCCTGTTGAACTTACTTTAAATAAAGCTAATACTAACAATGACCACTGCCCTTTCCTCGATCTTGATATCTATATCATTAATGGAAAGCTTAATACTAAAATATATGATAAAAGAGATGATTTTTCATTTCCTATCGTTAATTATCCATTTTTAGATGGTGACGTTCCCTTGTCACCATCTTACGGTGTTTATATATCTCAACTTGTACGATTCGCTCGTGTATGTAACAATGTTTTAGATTTTAACGAGAGAAATTTATGTATTACTGAAAAATTATTACACCAGGGTTTTCGATATCACAAACTAGTCAAAACATTTACTAAATTTTATCATCGGTATAAGGACATCATTCGTAAATATAGCTCAACATGCAGACTTCTTATACGTTCAGGTATTTCACATCCAATTTTTTTATGGAAATATTCTTTATAAAGCACAAAAATGTCAGTATTCACCTCTGAAGCTAACAAAACCTTTAAATAGACTTATTAAGAAGGGATATAGTTACGATACTGTTGTCAGGTCATTAAAGATTGCATATTTTGGCGTTAATATTGATTCACTTATAGGGTCTTTGCATCGGCACTAGACACAATTATTTAAAAACCAGTTGTTGGCATGACACGGGTTATGTTCTTCTCATATATGTTATGATGGTATGATACTAAACCCCTAACGGGAAGGATTGTGCCTGATATTCATATGATGAAGACATAATCTTTCAATCAGTTTAATTGAAGTCTGGAGCTGGCATGTCAGTTAACTGCTAGTAGTCTGTTGTTATTTATGTATTATTGTCATTTTGTTTATTTTCTTTGGTTACATCTTCTGACATCAGACTCGGACTTCTCTTGAACTGAATTTTAATGTGCGTATTGTTATGCGTTTACTTTTCTACATTGGCTAGAGGTATAGGGGGAGGGTTGAGATCTCATAAACATGTTTAACCCCGCCGCATTTTTGCGCCTGTCCCAAGTCAGGAGCCTCTAGCCTTTGTTAGTCTTGTATTATTTTTAATTTTAGTCTCTTGTGTACAATTTGGAGTTTAGTATGGCGTTCATTATCACTGAACTAGTATATATATTTGTTTAGGGGCCAGCTGAAGGACGCCTCCGGGTGCGGGAATTTCTCGCTGCATTGAAGACCTGTTGGTGACCTTCTACTGTTGTCTGTTCTATGGTCGGGTTGTTGTCTCTTTGACACATTCCCCATTTCCATTCTCAATTTTATTTCCTTGTAGAACTTCTTCCTGATGTGTATTTAAGACATCCAAAAATTATCATAATGGGGGACTTTAATTTAGATTTAAACACTGGAAACACTTCTTTTTTAAAGTTCATGAGAGATACATTTTGCTGTTCACAAATTGTGTCTAAACCTACTACATCTAATGGCACACTGTTGGACTTAATATTCTTAAATTTTGATAGTAAGGTAAATTTTGAAACAGATGTTCTTGATTCCTATTGGTCAGATCATAAAGTTATATATGTGGCCATTGAAACACAATGATTCAGTGTAATGATTATTTTATGTACCAAAACCAGCTTTGTTTGATACGGTGAAAATAAAACTCGCTGAAAAAATATGGCACATTTCAGGTTGCTGAAAATGCAACCTCAAATGTGCATGGAGTTGTTTTAAAGGAAAAATGGGTTTCCACTCCAACAGATTTGCCTTTTTATAAGTAGGAATAAAAATGAGTTGGCTTCAAGACTCCTGATATCCAGTATTACCTGTATAAAAGAAAGCTTCTTTACAAAGCTTTCTTCTTTATAGGTACACTGGATTAAGGGTAGCAGAGGTACAGAAATTTGAATGTGTGTTACTTTGACTTCCATAAAGCAGAAAGACCCTTTTTGATTGGTTAACCATTTTGCTATGGAAGAAAAGTAAGATTCCATTCATTTCAAGTCAGTAATTTTAGCACATCTACTACCTGAATGCTCATTGTATCAGTAGAGAGTGCCGTGCACTTTGCATGTGAACACTCCTGATATTTACTTGAAATATTTGTTTTTGAACACAATAAAAAAATATCTTTTTAATATAGATGTAAAATAAAGGAGTTTTGAAGACCATATTAGTTCTATGTCACATTTCTCTTCTTACAAAATTAATAATTTTAACTTGCTGTTTGATGAACAATCATTAAATCATCAGAATGTTTATGAATGTTAAAATCTTTGCTGTCACTTCTTTCACTTGTATAATAAACCCTTATTATTTACATATATTCATTGTAATTTTTCATATAGATTTATCATGTTTTAATATGTACAGTTAACTTTTTGTTATGCCAAATTTATCTGTAAATTTATCTTATCCAATATTCATTGACATTTTACTTTAAAAAATGCTCTCATGTTCATGTATCATCAGACATAATAAATCAGTTTCTGTACAGAAACCAAATATTTTACTGTTATATAATTACTTGAAGTTCTTCA